AAGTATCACCTCACCAGTCAGAATGACCATCATATATATATATACATCATATATATATATATACCTACAAACAATAAATGCTGAAGAGGACGTGTACAAAAGGTAACCCTCTTGCACTGATGGTGGGAATGTAAATTGATACAGTCACTATGGAGAACAGTATAGTGATTCCTTTAAAAACTAGGAATAAAACTACCACATGACCCAGCAATCCCACTACTGGGCATATACCCTGAAAAAAGCATAATTGAAAAAGGAATATAAACCCCAATGTTGGTAGCAGCACTATTTACAATAGCTAAGACATGGAAGAAACCTAGATATTCATCAACAGATAAATATATAAAGAAGATACAGTACATATATACAGTAGAATATTACTCAGCTATAAAAAAGAACAAAAATTTGTCAGTCCTAGTGAGGTAGAGCTTGTTATACAGAGTGAAGTCAGAAAGGGAAAAACAAATACAGTATATTAATGCATATATATGGAATCTAGAAAAATGGAATTGATGAACATATTTACAAGGAAGAAATGGAGATGCAGATATAGAGAATGGATTTGTGGACACAATGAGGGAAGGAAAGAGTGGGACAAATGAAGAAATTAGCATTGACATATATATCATGTGTAAAACAGATAGCTAGTGAGAAGTTGCTATATAACACAGGGAGCCCAGCCTGGCTCTCCATGATGACCTAGAGGGGTGGGATGGAGGGAAGAGATAGAGGGGAGGGAGGCTCAAGAGGGAGGGGATATATGTATAATTACTGCTGATTTGCATTGTTGTACAGCAGAAACCAATACAACATTGTAAAGCAATTTTTCTTCAATTAAAAAGAAATTTTAAAAACCCACATCACAAGGCTGTTATGAAGACTAACTTAGGTATAATAAAAATAAAATTTTTAGCTCAGCATCTGGTACTAAGGAAATGAATAATAAATATTAACATAAAAAGAATAAGTTCTCACAACTTGCTAAACTCTGGATCTCTCTCATAGAAGGACTGTATATGTATTAATAAGATAATGAACTGCAAATTAAGTCCTTATGGTTCATAGGAGTCAGAATGCACTCAACTTCCATGGTGCCTGAATCAGGGAACAACCAAGGAGTTAATGTGCCATCTGAGTGGCTTGGGTAGGGCAATTAGAAGCCTGATCTTTTCTTGATTTTGTCTCTGTTTCAATAAAAAAAAATTTCTGAAATGGAAAAAATAAAATGGATCAGCCAGTTCTTTATCCGTGGGATAGGAAGAATCTAAGCAGTCACCTTTTCTGTAGGATTCTAGGAAGTAAGTAGGAAGGAAGAAACCCTCTGGCCATATATCTAGTTATCCAAACCTACTTATTCTTAACAATTTTTGGATCTTCAGCATTTTGAAATTAATTACTATAATTACAGTACTTAACATAGTAATTATTAATGCTATTAATACCCACTTAAGTACATATTAAAGATATATATTTTTTTTTTTTTTCTTACCACTAGCCCTGCTAGCACCTTTCCTTGGCCTTGGGTTCTTCACCTGTAAAGTGGAGAAATCAAGTTAGATAGCAACCCACTCCAGTACTCTTGTCTGGAAAATCCCATGGACGGAGGAGCCTGGTAGACTACAGTCCATGGGGTCACAAAGAGTCAGACAGGACTGAGTGACTTTACTCACTTCACTTAATGTCTCTTCTTACCTTATATTGGTTGATTCAAAACTAAATAACATCAGTAACATTGTAATGTTTGTAATTATATGTCAAGTCCTTGTTCACTTATGGAAGTGAGAAAAGTAAGAGGAAGTAAATTGTAGCAAATGTAGCACTTTTCTACCTACAACTCAGCCTGACTTCATTCAATATTGAGTTCTGGGAATAACTGGCTTCTAAAGATTGGCTCTCTTTAGGCAGTGGCCACAGGACTGGAAAAGGTCAGTTTTCATTCCAATCCCAAAGAAAGGCAATACCAAAGAATGCTCAAACTACCACACAATTGCACTCATCTCACATGCTAATAAAGTAATGCTCAAAATACTCTAAGCCCGGCATCAGCAATATGTGAACCATGAACTTTCAGATGTTCAAGCTGGTTTTAGAAAAGGCAGAGGAACCAGAGATCAAATTGCCAACATCCTCTGGATCATCAAAAAAAAAAGCAAGAGAGTTCCAGAAAAGCATCTATTTCTGCTTTATTGACTATGCCAAAGCCTTTGACTGTGTGAATCACAACAAACTGTTAAAAATTCTGAAAGAGATGGGAATACCAGACCACCTGACCTGTCTCTTGATAAACCTATATGCAGGTCAGGAAGCAACAGTTAGAACTGGACATGGAACAACAGACTGGTTCCAAATAGGAAAAGGAGTACATCAAGGCTGTATATTATCACCCTGCTTATTTAACTTATGTGCAGAGTACATCATGAGAAACGCTGGGCTGGAGGAAGCACAAGCTGGAATCAAGATTGCTGGGAGAAATATCAATAACCTCAGATATGCAGATGACACCACCCTTATGGCAGAAAGTAAAGAGGAACTAAAAAGCCTCTTGATGAAAGTGAAAGAGGAGAGTGAAAAGTTGGCTCAAAGTTCAACATTCAGAAAACTAAGATCATGGCATCTGGTCCCATCACCTCATGGGAAATAGATGGGGAAACAGTGGAAACAGTGGCTGACTTTATTTCTTTGGGCTCCAAAATCACTGCAGATGGTGACTGCAGCCATGAAATTAAAAGACGCTTACTCCTTGGAAGGAAAGTTATGACCAATCTAGATAGCGTGTTAAAAAGAAGAAACATTACTCTGCCAACAAAGGTCTGTCTAGTCAAGACTATGGTTTTCCCAGTAGTCATGTATGGATGTGAGAGTTGGACTGTAAAGAAAGCTGAGTGCCAAAGAATTGATGCTTTTGAACTGTGATTTTGGAGAAGACTCTTGATAGTCCCTTGGACTGCAAGGAGATCCAACCAGTCCATCCTAAGGGAGATCAGTCCTGGGTGTTCACTGGAAGGACTGATACTAAAGCTGAAACTCCAATATTTTGGCCACCTCATGTGAAGAGTTGACTCATTGGAAAAGACCCTGATGCTGGGAGGGATTAGGGGCAGGAGGAGAAGGGGACGACAGAGGATGAGATGGCTGGATGGCATTACCAACTCGATGGACAATAGAGTTCGGGTAAACTCTGGGAGTTGGTGATGGACAGGGAGGTCTGGCATGCTGTGATTCATGGGGTTGCAAAGAGTCGGACACAACCGAGTGACTGAACTGAACTGAACTGAGCTGAGGCTTCATAACATATGCCTCTAAGTTCCTGTTGAATCTGGTTCCTCTTGTTATTCTCAGTCAGCAAGTGGTAAGTGGTAAAATAACAGGAGTAACCCCTATGGGTGAGGATGAATTATTCTTTTCCTTTTTTCTTTAGTGCAAATTGTGACTGGATTTTCGGTATATAAAATAAACAAATGCAAACTGGGGTGTGGGACATCATGCATTCAAATGTTTCCAGCTGTATGGATGCTAGCTTTCATAGAGAAAGCACATCTATAATTCACATTAAATATTTCAAATTTTTTCCACATGTTAGGCATGCCACAGACATAATTTGTGAATATAAGTGGTATCTTTCCTTTCCTTGCAAATAATTACCTTAACCAATTACTGTAAGATATGAAAAAAACATCTTTTATTCTTAAATCAATCCTCTCACTGACTGAATTGTTAAATTTGACCTCTCTTTAGCTTTGCTTTCATTCAAATATTTGCCATTTGCTAACTTTCCCAAGAATGTACAGCCACAGTTTGCATATACATCTGATATTAGTTTCCCAACTCTCCAATTCTTTACCAGTGAGCAATCATCCATGCTAGTACCTGTATCAAACACTGATAGTCTGATAACTCTTTGCAGAGGACTTATGTGGTTAGCTATCTGGAGAAGCACTACAAAAAAATGGATAAGAATTTAGGCTCTGGATTCAGTGGACAAGTCACTTAACATCTTAGAATTCTCCATTTCCTTATCTGAAAATCAAAATAACAAAATACTTCCTTCTCAGGGCTGATTAAATGAATTACTGTCTGTAAAGTATCTGACATAGGACCTGGCTCAGGGTAACCTTAAATAAATACCAGATTTACAAAACTCTGAAAAACTGCATAAATTTTAGAGACTAACTTAAAAGTCAACAAAAACATACATCTTATTTTATAATTTAAGAATCTCAAAGCACAGAAACATTAAGTATCCTACCTAAGCCTATACCGTGAAGGACAAAAGAGTAAACACAGGTGTCTTGAATTCCAGTCCAGAGCACTTTCTGAAGAGACTATTTCATCATTATTAAACGTCAAGAGCCCTGCCCTCAGGAAGCATAAGATCTCTTAGGGGGAGTCAAAACTAACACACAACTCCGGTTAGCTGTTCTATAACAAAAGATGGAGTACTGAGGTACTCGGCAGAAAGAGTGAGAAGTAGTTCAGGGAACCTTCTAGAGAGGAATGAGACCAGAAGCAAGGCGAAATTTGACCCTACAACTGAATGAGAAGACGACATTTGAGAACCAAGGATGCTTCCCTGAGCAGAGAAGTACTTGTCTCTCTAGGAACATTCACTATTGAGGAACTGCTTAGAAACTCACCACACCTGCAACCCCCCACCTCTACCCTCAAAGCGTCTGAGTTGAACCAGAAGGGGAATTAATATATTACTCAATGTGAAAATCTGGGAAGAGGAGACAGGCCGGGAGTTAAGCCTCCCTCCGCTTTCAATCAAAGAGGTGAAGCCTAGGCTTCCGACCTGGGTTTCTTCTCCTCGGGGAGAATGTCCTGTCCAGCACCCAGGTGGGTTCGCGGGCGGGACACAAGGCCCTCACCTAGGCCGCGAGGAGTTAGGCGGCCGCCCGCGGCATCGGCATCGTAGGCCGCAGCTCAGCCCCTGGGACTCGCCCCCAGGAGCCCAGACGCAGGGGTGCTGGCTGGGAAAGAAGGCGGAGACGGGAGGCGAGATGGTCCCTAGAGGCACTGCGGAACGCGCCCCGACTCCCGCAGCGTTCAACCCCGCGGGCGCTCGGCCGGGATCGGCAGCTCCCCGCAAACCCCGGAGACCCGGCTGCTGCCGCCTCCTGATCCGCGTGGGTCCCGCGAGGGCGCGAAAGGCAGCCGCCGCGTTCGCTCCGGATCTCAGAGCGAAAAGGCAGGGAAGCCCAGGGGGAAAAGTAATAGTAGCCGTGACGGTCTGGGCTCTCTCCACCCCCGCAGGCCCGCGGAGACCGGACGGCACCGCCTCCCCTCCCCGGCCTCAGCCAACACGGTCCCCGGAGGCCAGGTCTCCGCGCCCGCGATGCTCTCCCCGAGGTTCAGGCAGCTGCTTCCCGTGAACCTTGAAGCAAGGACCCATTTGCTCCTCAGAATGGAAAATTCCTGTCCAAGAACATTGCTGATATTGGGTGAGGGCGGGGGAAGGATCCCTACCATCTTAAGTCATTGCTTTCTGCCTTTACGTTATGGGTCTGGGCGATTTTTCTTTTAAAAGGCAGCAGGTCGTAATTTGTGAAATGTCCAGCACGGTTAAAATGTTTCCCGACTTAAAAAGAAAAAAGCCATTCAATAGTTTTTCCTTTGTTTTCTGTTGCAAACAGTTGCTTAATGCTTAAAAAAGAAAAAAACAAAAAACATCTAAAAACCAAATAACCACCCAAACCTAAAAGGAAACCGTAAAACAATCTGATTTCTATTGATTAGCCCTGTGACTAGACGTTTTACAAACACATTTTTAACAAGAAAAATATAATGGGATGTTTTAAAATGGAGACATTTTAGATGTGTCTGGAAATGTTGAAAAAAATTGGCCTTTTCATTTATTTGAAATAAGCTAAAAACACAGTCTTTCTAGACTATTTTGCATGGTATTATACCTGGGATTGGGGATGGGGTGGGGGCGGACCATAGGCTAGAGTCTACTGAGCAGCTTTGCTTGATTGATACTTGGTTTTCAGTTCTGCAGCGGGAAAGGCAGCTATATTGGATAATTGGTTTTATTTAAAATAAGGCTCTAAAACGCTAGGGATTCCAGTTCAGTCCTTCAAACACTGACAGGCATAGATGTTTCTTTGGGCAGCAAGTTCTGCTGAGATCAGAAGGACCCCACTGAGGAAGGAAAGCGAGGCATGTTGTGATGCAAGGAAACCTGATGTTAATTGTTTGGGCTTAGAGTGTGTGCTTGTGTATCTGTATCTGTGTCTGAATCTTAGGTTCATGAGTGAGTCCTGGAGAAAATAAAGAAGTTTGGACCAGAACCATTTAGGAGGATATGCTGTGCCACAAAACAAACAGAAACAAACAAGTACACACACCAAAAAAACGAGTCAGGGTTAAGACATCCCCTGGAATGTTCCTGCATCTCTAAGCCCTTTCTGAGTGATACCTCTTGCAATTTAAGGGAGGTTGAACTTGGGTTCAGGCAACTCCTTTTTCATTTACTCTTCCCTGGTATAGATTTTAAAACAACAAAAATACATGTATGTTGAACATTGCCTGCTCTACCTCTATCTTTATATTTTAAGAACACATGTTTTTAACAACAAGTAGCTCAACATTTTGTTATTCAAACAAGATGGCAAAAACATTCCATCTGCCATACTGGGAGATTTGTTTCAAAGATTCTGTTATCCTGATGGCCTCAAAATCAAAAACTTGACTGAGTGTGTGGTTAGTAAGCCAGAAGTAAAAAAATTTAAACAATATCCAGCCTGAAACTAATCATATTGAATAAAATAGGAAGAAACAAAATAAAATTAGGAATTCAGAATTCAGAGCACTGACTTCAGGTGCTAAGCCACTCTGGTTTTCATTTAGGAAGTAAGAATATTGATATTATGGGCTCTGTGGCAAATCAATACACCGTTGGGTGACTTATCTCTCTGATTCATAAAATGGGAGTTTGGGTAGATGGATTTCTTTCTGTTCTGGTCACCTAGGTACAAGAATTCCTAAGACAGAACTTCTAGGTGTTCTCAGAAATGCAGGCAAAAAGGTAATTATTTACAGCAGAGCGTCACCAAAGTTAGCCATCTAGTGAGTAGCTTATCTGATAGGGGCATGCTAATTCATGTTCTTGTGTGTATTGAAAAACCATAGCATATCTGAGAGAGGTATTGTTCAGTCCCAACCAATATAAACAAAGATACTGTTCATGTACCAATTTCAAAATTTTAAAATAGAAGTGTTGCCTGTCATTCAAAATAGTAAATTAAAGACTCAGACTCCTACTCAGACTTCAACTGCAAGGATGATTATTCTTCAGGAAGAAACACAATCTGCAGTGACCGTTTTTCCTCACAGACGTGCTCAGCCATTAGAAAAGCTTAATAAATCCCTATTTAGTATGCATTTATGCAGTGATTACATGAACTTCGACCTCTGAAGAGCTGTAGCAATTAGCTTCAGTGTCCAGCATCTTCTCCCACCATTCCCCACTGGCTTCCTTGGGTCTTCCTTTCTCATTTCAGCAGTTTGTGTGCTAGAAAACATACAGTTTTAAAGTTGACTTTCCACCTGAGGTATTTGCTTCTGCACAAGTCACTTCCCTCTCTGCTCCCCCCACTCCAGTCTAAACAGCCATCTCAGATGGATATTGGGGCTCTGATCGTTGATATTACTCAAACGCAAATGGATTCCAATTCATTCTTGCCCTGTACTTTCACAAAGATAAACTCTAATGGCCCAAAGAGTTTCATTTCATAGCTCGTGGCATCTGAAATAAATCGGATCTCTTCTGTCAGGCTAATTTAACATTTTTTAAATATTCAATGTAATTTATTTTAAGTCAAATGAAACCTAGTGGCTTGGCAGAAAGCTAGAGGAGGTGGCAGGAGAGCCGCTGAAAAGCCCGTCTCCATGTGCTCCATTCCCCACCCCGCCACCCCCCGCCAAAAGAAAAGCCAGGAAGGCAGAGGAAAGTGTTTTAAGTTTCTAGTAAACACCGTTTAGCAAAAGAATAATAGGAAAGTTATCCCTTTCTCAAAGAGGGATGGAACTATAATTGTTGCCTTTAGCGGAGAGCTCAGATAAACCGCTGGGACTCATTCTACAGTGACCCATCACTGCATTCATCTCTTCTTGAACTTTCGGTGAACCTGAGATTAAACAGGGGTGAGCAGCTAAGCAGTTTGTTGTTAGCAGCCTTTTCAACAACCCTTTCAGACTGAGTAAATATTGATCGGTTTGAATCTGATTGCCCCAGAGGAAAACACCAGGGCATCTGAATAGCCTCCAAAAGTAAACTTTCAAAGGTGAATCCGAGAACAAACTTCAGACTCACAGCACAATTTCAACTCAGTCTCATTTGAGGACACCCTGAATTTCTAGGGTACTTTGAATGAAGGTGAGAGAAGAGAGGAAAAGCATTTGAAAAGTGGAATTTTATACTGCGATTAGCCCAACTCCCTAATTGAGACTCTTGTCCTTTTTAAATTTATCATTAAAATGTTATTTTCTATTTTCCATCCTCTGTCATTTCAGTTACCATGGCTGTCATTTTTTCAAGGAGCTAACTGTGCTCTTCAGAGACCTAAACAGAAAAAGAGAGACCTTGAAATAAGATGTGTTAAGCGCCTTTGATTTAATCGATAGGGACAACTAAAAAGATACAAATGTTTTCCTCATTGAAAGGTATATTAATGCTTCCTAAATGCATTGCTTGCTAACTGACTTATTCCACGACCTAGAGAAGGCTTGGGATGTTTTGCCATAATTCATTGTTCTCCTCTCAGCTACATTAAAACAAACCAGCACCTTGAAGATTGGAATCTCTGGGATTCCAGTGGGTCGGCTCTGCTTTTAGATATTGAAATCTCAGCAGCGGCATGCAAATGACACTTTAACACATTAAAGTATTTCAAAACCAGCCATCTGTTTTGCTGTGTGGTCTTATACTAATAAACAAAAGATACTGTATATGGCCAGGCAGGAAATGAAAGAAAGAGTTGACTGACTTTGAAGTTCTCTTCCATCCACTTGAGTCTTTTAGAAGCAACCCCAAAACCCAGGAGCTGGGGGGGTGGGGGATGCCGCTGGGTATCAGGTGCTCTTGATATGGCCGCGCCAACTGCGCCTGCAGAGTCCAGGCTTGCTGCCTTCGACAGGGAACTACAGGAAATCTCAAGGATGCTCTAGGAGGCCTGCAAATTATAAGCTTTTGTAGGATTTCTCCCCTCCCACCCAGAACCCCAGCCCATCCTTTGTAAAACACCCTTCGGAAAGGAAGGAAGTCATATGTCTGTATTTGTTTGTGATGCTGTAAAATTTCTGCTCTGCTCTTGGGGCTAAATTACAGCCTCCAAAAATGTGTGAAAGTAAAAGGAACATGGTAACAGGTCTGGGAGGAGGGTCACTTAGAACTCTTTGCTTTGCTGGCTTCCTCTATTTGAGAGCAGCAGAAACAAGTGTTGGTCAGAAGAAACTTGAATACTGACCAACTGCAGGGCAGCTTCCACAAGTTCACCTGGAAGAACCTGTTGAACCTAGAGAAAATTAAATTTTTTTGTCTGGGTTATATGGCATGAAATTAGAGCAGTAGACCCTTTAGAGCCATGAGGGCTGTAAAATCAAAGCTGAATCTGATGGGAATGAGATGCGTAACCCAGAAGGAATTGGGAGCAGGGGTTTAAAAAGTGACAGGAAGAGGTGGATATTGACAGGAGGAATTGGAGGAGGGATGCGGGGTTTACTCAGTACAGACCACACTGAGTTTAAACAGTGGAATATTTTGGGATACTGACAACCCAAAAAGAAGGAAGAGGGGTGGGGTGGGGACCTCATCCTCAAACAGCTTTATACTGGAGCCAATTAAATGCGAATCTCTTGGTTCACTGATGTGAGGAAAGACTGACTGAAGAGTTTCGCTTTTGAAGGAGATTCTGTTTATATATATGTCAACATTGAGTTGGAGGTGAAAAGGTTAGTACTTGACCCAGGAAGTATCCATGTTTGTTTCAAAAATAGATCTGCTTCATAAATTTCTTCACCATTCATTTTTTTTCCATGATGAACGTTGATTATACTATAACAACTGCTGCTCTTTTAGAGAAAACCAACCTATTTCATAGACAGTGTTAGGTGCAATTACACTCATAGGGGAAGTTTCAGCTACATGATGAAAAGCTTTTACTTTTTTTTCCTCAAGAAAAGGCCCACCTCTTTGAAAATACACACCACACTTCTCCCCTTACCCAGGTGAAATGAGCCAACTTTGGAGAAACCAGCAAATTGTAGCCATGCTGAAGCATGTCTGAAACTTGAATATATTTATTACAGACATCTTAAGACCCGTAAACTCTGCTCTGGATCACACCACCCCCAGGATCCCAGAGCTGTTCATGATTGTACAGGAAATGGTAAATATCACAAAAGGATAACTGATAGAACTCAGTGTGGTACTTCGGGGACACCAAAACATTGTGCGACATGCAAAAGACTATTCACGAATCACACAAAATATACATTCATTGTGCCATCCATCACATTAACAATTGAGCTGAAAATACATCATATCCAGCTAAGATAACTGTGGAAGGAAGAAGCTGGTTTGAATAATACTTTTAGGTCCCAGATAATCCAGCACAAATTTTAAATAGAGTGTGGCCAGAGAAACAAGAAAGGAGTGGGGATGGGGAGAGACTTAGCCCAGGAAGCAAGGTTTCTGACCCTTGTATTCTGTAGGCCTTCTTAACTCACTGAAAGAACAAACTGAGGCTACCCTCTGAGGCATCTGATTGATTTTAAGTGAGAACTTTTATTCTTTAACCTATAATCACATACAAAGTTGTACCAGCTTTGAGAGTTTGCCCACCCTGTTTTAATCTAAACATTAATCTAAACATTTCTAGAAAATCTGTATAAAGATAAATCTTTCAGGACAAAGTATTTACAACCAGCAAACTCACGCACGTGGAATTAAATTAAATTAAGGGATGAATTAATTGTGTAAACATGCTCATAGAGAATCTCTTCTTCATGAGCTCTTGGACTCTCTTCTCTCTCTCCAGCCTACTTTCAGGGCAAAGTAGGAGAGAACTGTAAATATACAGAGAGATAAAGGATGAGAGGCCTTCCTCATATATTTCTGCTGGCAAAGGAGACCATTTTCCAAAGAGCATCTGAAAGGAGCAGTAGGTTCAGTCGAAATCTCCTGAAAGTAGGGGTGTTAGGGGCCATCAGAAAATTGATGCTGGCACTCCAGCTGCATTAGGGAGCTAACACCCCTTCCCCTCCCCCCCCATCAAGTCTCTCATCCAGAATTCTCTGGAAACACATTATCCCCAGCCAGGAGTTCCCCAGATAGGATCAGAAAGGAAGAGAGAGATTGTAAATGGAAAGGAAGATAAGCTAAGAATGTGCTTTGGGTAAGAAGTCCCAGCCTGAGGAGTAGCCCAGGCTGCTGAGTGGGGCTGGGGCAGCCTCAGTGGGAGGTAGGTAGAGTGTCTGAGGTAGAAGAACCCGGGGAAGGAACGCAGGGCGAGGAGCTGGACTTCTCTGAGGATTCTTCAGCCTTCTCCTCGCTTCCTGTCGGAGTGGCTGGAGAGATGGGCAAGAGACCCTCCTTCTCCCGTTTCTTCTGCTTCATTCGGCGGTTCTGGAACCAGATCTTCACCTGGGTCTCATTGAGCTGCAGGGATGCGGCAATTTCCACCCTGCGGGCGCGTGTCAGATACTTGTTAAAGTGAAACTCCTTCTCCAGCTCCGTGAGCTGCTTGGTGGTGAAGTTGGTGCGCACCACATTGGGCTGACCCACGTAGCCATACTCTCCAATTTTCCCTGGGGGCAATGAGAGGAAAAGGTAAAAATGTTTATAATCATATCAGATTCCCTACACGCTTCAGAGCAACCTTCAGGTAAAGGGGGGAATCAAGACTTTCTCAACCTAATCAGGGCTTGGGAGGGTGAGTGATGAGGTGTAAAGTGTTGATCTGAAGTCAACCATTAGCATGATCAGACCGTGATTAATGGAGCCTGGAGATATTAACAGAATGCCCTACACACACACACACACACACACACACACACCCCTACCCACTTCCTACTTCCTAAACCTCTAAAATTCACATTCACACACACACACACACACACACCCACACCCCTACCCACTTCCTACTTCCTAAACCTCTAAAATTCAGCCCCTTTGGAAACACAACAGTCTCAGATGCTCCTTTGCCCTCAAAGCACCTGGGCAATCTCTCCACACCCTAGAACAGAAGTGGGAAGCAAGAGCTTTTCTTAAGGGGGAAAAAAAGGTTAATTTTCCTTGGAAACTAAGCATACCAGCTCCTTCCAGAATCATAAAGGAGCATTCATGGAATGGCAAGACTGACCTGTTTTGGGAGGGTTTCTTTTCACTTTCATCCAGTCAAAGGTCTGTGCTGGAGAAGAGGTCTCTGATGGAGGGGAGCGACAGGCTTCTTGGTGGCTGGCGTGGAGAGGGGACAAGGAGTTATTATACGTGGCCAGGGCCAGGCTCTGGTGCTCTTGTCCATATGAGTGGTGAATGTACTGAGGCGAGCCCACCGCGCCCCCGGCATAACCCTGGTGGTGGTGGTGATGCTGGACCATGGGAGATGAGAGGTTTCCAGAGTAAACAGCGGGAGCGCACGAGGGGTACCCACCACTTACTTCTGCTTCCTGATTTAACGCGTAGGGGCTGTAAGGCGCGCCGAAGTTCTGCGCGCCGTAGCTTGGACCACAACTCGAGTGGGAGTAGGACACTCCCAGGTTCCCAGAAGTCTGATAGGTGGTCGGCTGGGGGTGGTGATGGTGGTGGTGGTGGTGGGGCGGGCTGATCTGCACACCCCTGCCCACTAGGAAGCGGTCGTCGCTGCCACAGCTGTTGGCACTGACCGCGCACGACTGGAAAGTTGTAATTCCGTGGTCGGAGGGGTAGGCTCGCGCTGAGCAGGTCCCCGAGTCGCCACCGCTGAGGATGGGGTATTCCAGGAAGGAGCTCATTCTTGCATTGTCCATCTGTCACTGAGTGACCGGGTCCTGCGAAGTCCTGGGTGACCGTGCCAACTTTCTCACTTCCTCCATGGGGCCCGAGAAGAAAAATGATATGAATGTACAGTGCGCAAGAGGGGGGGCGGGAGGGCGGAGGGCGCTACGGGAGGGGCACGTGATTCTATCAGCCAATGGCGGAGCCTCCTGAGAAAGTTTGTTGGCTCCTGCGGTGATGGATCACCGTTTCAGTGGCATTTAAATCCCCGGCGCTCCTCAGTCTAGGTGACGCGCAGTCGCCCCCCCAGGCAGCCTGGGCGGCAGCAGCAGCTGCGGCGGCCGCAGGGGCAGAAGCGGAGCGCTAAGGCGAAGGGGAGCAGAGGCCGCTTTCTGCGCGCGCCGACTCCGATCGCCCTCCCCCCTCCGGGAGGTGGGGGCTGGAAGGCATCCCCCGTCACCGCCCCCCTCCCCACCGCGCACAAAAGATGAATTGGCAAAAGGTGAGAAGCACGGAGGGCTCCGCGATCTCTCGGGCTGGGAATCAGTGGGGAGGAGGAGCTCGCTGGGCCGCCACTAGCACACTGGCCGAGCCCGGAAAGCCAGGAACTGAAAGGGTCGCTCTCCGGGCTCTTTCCCTTCCGTCCCTTCTACGGTGTCTTGAGGAGGGCCGAGAACGGTGGCGTAGGACGCGGTTAGGACACCAGGTCTCTAAAGTCGGGATGGAGAGGGAAGTACGCAGAGAGCTGGCTAGGAGGAACCCGAGTGGGCGTGGAGGGTACGAGGGCAAGAAAGGAAACTTCCCTTCCTCAAGGAGGGTCCTGAAGCCTCCTTTCCTCACGCCCCCCCCCCCACCTCCCCGTCCTCCCCACCCTCTGGCTATTAGTGTGGCAACCGGGAGCTTCTGTAATTCGACGCCCGGGAGAGGGGGTCCGAGCCTTGGGAGCCAGGCTTGCTGGCCAAGGCTGGGGGTGGCCTGGCTCTTCGCCCTCCCTCTCTCCTCGCTCTCCGCCCCTTTCTCCTCCCCACTCAGCTTTGCTCTGGGAGCCCTACGGGATCCGGAGTAACTACGCGGCTGGATTTTGAGGGGTAGGAGGAGGGGGGAGAGAGATGACGATAGCGGACGTGGCCAGCGTGGGGGCCGGGCCCTGCGCTGCAGGCCATCTGCCGGCTCCCTAAGAACCAGGAGCCTGCAGGCTCCCACCCGGGCCTCAAAGGGTTAGACCACAGCTCCGGCGAAGTACGACGAACTCTTCCTTCCCACCCCCACCCACCCCCGCAAGGTTTCTTGTTTTCTGGAGGGGGTCGTTAGAAGTGGTAGAGCCTCTTTTATCCACACCCCCCCCCCTCATTCTACTGCACAGCTTATGTGGGGGTGTGAGCTGGCAGGTGGGAGGGGCGGGGGACAGATGGCTGATGGTGGACGGGACATTCTCTTCTTCCCCAGCAACACCTCCTCCCTTTTGTAACTGACTGTGTAGCTCCTTCTGTAAACCTGCAAGTCTACCCCTAGAGAGACACTTGCAAATCTGAGCGTCATCCCAGGACAGCGTTCCTGTTCTCCGTCACTTTCCTCTTAGCCCGATGCCCACGGGGTCGTTAATTGCTCTTTACTATTAGGCCTCGTGTCAGCCTTTGGCTTGTAGAGAGAAAAGGCCAAACAGAGGCCAAGAATTGATGCATTCTTAGGTAAAAGAAGTCCAGACGTCATACAAGAATTTCGCAGCCAATGCTGTATAGATTTTACTCTGACCATGTTCACCACATGGGGATCCAACGGATCAAATTTATCTGATGATTGTGTGTGGCTTTGGGGTTCCCACTTCCCTCCAGCTTTCCCTCCCCGGGTAAAAGAAGGAAGTTTTGCTTGAGGTAGGCACATTTCAGAGGTGTTAGCCTTTCAGGTTTCTGTGTTCTGTTCTCCACCTATACCAGTTCCATCCTAACCTGTGTCCCCAAGAGAGAAAACGGACAGACGTTTGACTGTGGATTCCCTCAGAAGCAAAGGCGCATTTCCCCCTACACATTTCCTTTTGAAAGGTATTTTCCTGTGACCTGTGACCTATCCCCAATCATAGTTGAGAGGGGGGCCCGGAAAGGTCACTCCTGCCCCCCAATTTCAGCACCTGGAGAACCTCACCCTGGAGAAGGGAAAAGGCAAGGAGGCCCTCCTGGAGGTGGCTTCCTTGGGAGTGCCAGGCGTCCAGACAGGGGGAGAGAAGGGGCTCTTGCGGGGGAGGAGACAGGACATTAGGGGTCCCGGCTGGCTTTGCGGACGACCTGCTCCTCCAGCCTAAGCTCGTCGGTAGGTTCTGGCCCTTGTCTCACTCCGGTCCCTTTGTTGGCTTTCTCGGCCCTGGTCTGCACGGCCCCCTCCGCCGCAGGCTCGCACCACAGTCACCCCAGTCTGCAACCTCTCTCCTTCCTCTGCTAGTTCTGGGCCTCTGAGCTCCTCTCCCTCCACCTCTCTTCCTCCCTCCGGGCTTCTTTTCCCGGCCTTCGAGGGTGGAATGTTTTTCTTGGGATCACACATAAGCTTGCGCTCGCGCAGAAGGCCGCTGCACAGCGGCGGGCGAGCGACCCGCCTCCGCGCACCGCTCCCGGCAGGCAGGCTCCCGCGGCCGAGCCGACTCCGCCCAGGCTGGTCGCCCAGAGAGCCGCTCTCCCCGTGCGGCTCACAAAGGCAGCCTCCTCTGGCCTCGAGCCCGGGGGCTTCCGTAGCGCGGTTCCTTCCCCACCCCCACGAAATCCCAGGGCTCATTCCGCTGGGTAGGAGACCCGAGGTCCGTGGGGGCAAGTAGGCCAGCGCCCCACGACTCGAGCCAAAATCTCTTAAGCCGCCCGTGAAGACTGGATGAAAGGCGAGCCCGGTCACTTGCAAGCCGCTTGTTGGGCTCAAAGCGCCTCTTTCATGGCTCTACTAGAAAGGGAAGGAGCGAGGAAGAGACAAAACGCCGCCGAGGCCCGGAGCTGTTCATGGCATCCGCAGCTCAGCCAAGCTGCTGTTGTTTTAAAAGAGCAATAAAAATGAATTATGACTAAACGCCTTCTAACTTAATGCTTTCGGACGGGGATCCCCGGCAAATACGTAAGAGGATTTTTATTTGTGCATGTGTTCCTGCAATTGATCTCTTTGATGACATTCTCATTCATAGAAAGCGTTTGATTTATGAGTGGAGGATGAATCGCAAACAGCGGCTTAGCCCTGGCCGCGGCCCGGCCGCTTGCTCCGTTCCGCGCCGCGCCGCGCCGAGTGCAGGAGACCTGCCCGGGTCCTCACTCGCCTCCGCCGCTGCCAGGATTTAGGGGGCAAAAGGGTGGGGGAGGTAGGCAGTAAACCCGTGGAGAAAGATCGCGATTTCCTCATAACTTCCAATCCTTTGCTATTAAGAGTCGGGTTCTTAAATCAACCCACCCCCCACACATGTTGCTTACACTCTGCGTTTTCTCACGGTAAGCAGCCATCAGAACAGAGCTCAGTAAGGGAAAAATAAACATGGGGAGACATAAGAAGGGAGGGGGAAAAAAAAACAGAACAACCCAGCAACATCCCTAGATCACATTTTATTGATATTTCATTTAAAGTGCTTTTTCTCTTTCTCTAGAAACTGGGTTAATCTATAACCTGGGGTGTAGAAACACTCCACTTTAAATCTCATCTTGCTAACCTGACTTCAAAGCTTTAATGATCCATTATTTGCCATGTAAACAGATTTAAGAATGAAATATTGATTTTTCTGACCCTGGGTGGGGGGGAAGAATCCTAGAATGACTGAACCAGAGGATTGGAAAGAACCCTTTCTGAAGTGCTTTTTCCAGCTAGTAACCATTGTTTTGTTTTATTTTTGTTTTTCTGTTTTAGACCTGTTTGCCTGGACCCATCAACAGCTGGGAGACTATAATCAACCACACTGAAAATGTTTGGGGATTTGTGGGGGAGGGGGTTGGAATGTAGATATTTGAAACAAACATGTATAAATAAATGAATTGTTGTATACTTAGTTATTGACCTGGAGACTGGTAGCTTGTTAAAGAAACTCCATGTTCCTCCTTCCTGGAGTTGGAGGTTTCTGTAGGCACTTTATTTCTCCACTTTCAAAAGCTTGGGCTTGGCCCAACTCTGAGGTTGCCCAATCCTGTTTCTATTACCAATTTAAATCTATGGCTTGAACCTCTACGTTGAAAACCTAATCCATTCCCTTAAAAAAAAAAAGAAAACAAAACACACTTCTCAGAAGCCCTAACCCTTTTCTGGCTTTCCTTTTTGTTGATGTTTCTATTGAAGACTTTGAACATGCCCATTCAATAAATATATTAAAATTGGAAAAGAAAGTGGATTGTGACCAGAATTTTATTTACCAAGTTAGACTAAAAGAGGAAAAAGAAACTGTTATGAGCCTTGAGAAAGAGGGGGAGGAAAAAAATAAGAAAGCTACTTATAGCAAAAGAGAATTTATTCTACCAAAAATACGCATGACAATGCACCCTAACGTAATACAAAAATAAAAAGAAAGTGAAGATACAATTATATATGATCACTTTCTTGCAGGCCTCATATATTGCTTTCAGGAAATCACATAGAGGGTTGTTGGATTAGATTTAAAAACAACTAAAACTCCAAAATAGTCTGGAGAAAAGATGACTCTGAAACTGGGTCAAGGGAATCACTAAACAGAAAAATCTTCCAACATTTAAAAGAGGGAGAGGGTAAGTCAAGAAGAAAATAAAATAAAAATTAGAATAAAGGAAAGCAAAACCACCTGGTCAAAGGGTTTTTTTTTTTTTTGTGATGCTTTGTTTTGCTTTAATGTTTTTAGTAATTCAGATGCTGCAAGTCGATTGTGGTGAGTGTGTCTGTAAAAAAGTCAAAGCTGTCAGCTGAAATATCTACTGGACTGTCGAGGGAACCCGGCAAACTGGGCGAGACTGCATCTGAAAGCTGCAGGCAGGAATCTGTGGAAAAAACGTTAAAGTCCTGCAAAGAGGGGACCTCGAGGGCCTCGGGACTGTCATTGTTTAGGCCAGAGCCACAGTTCTGGCCCATTGTTGACAAGCAGTTAGGAACAGTGGGTGACTGGTGCTGAAAATGTTTCAGATTTTTCTCATTGCTGGTTAAAGGCGAAACTGGGAAACTTTGGGAGTCACCATTGTGTCCATTGGAAGCCTGCTGCTGAGAGAGGGCATTTTGCTGAAAAGTGTAACCTTCCCTCTCCAGAAGGGCCCCAGAGACGCTGAGGGCTTGCTCAAAGAGCGACTTCTCTTCCTCGTCCTCGTCCACTTTCTCAGAGTCTTCCAGGCTTTTAAATTTTCCTTCGCTGTTTTGGTTCTCCTTGCACTGGGTCTGCCTCTTGTGCTTCATCCTCCGGTTCTGAAACCACACTTTCACTTGTCTCTCAGTCAAGTCCAGCAGCGCTGCAATTTCCACCCTTCGGGGTCTGCAAAGGTACTTGTTGAAATGAAATTCTTTTTCCAGCTCTAAAAGCTGCGTGTTGGTGTAAGCAGTTCTCAGGCGCCGAGAGCCCCCGCCGCTGCCATCGGCGATTTCCAGGGATTCTGAGGAAAGGGAAACCAACAAGAGACACGCGCACAGTTGGAGGTGGAGGGGTCCGAGCGGGGTTATTCCACTGGAGAATAAATATAGCAGAAAAGATCAACTGCAACAAAATGGCCGCCCCTGGATGCAGTAAATCTATTGTGCTGCCCTTCCTGGGAGCCTAGCCTGGGGAGACCCCATCTCTTCCACCTCCATCAGATTCCTGCCTGTAGCTCCCCCCAACCTCTCCATCCGGGAGCAAACTTTATATTAGCCACACCACAATTTATAATTAATGCATCAGCTGCTTAGCTGAGCAAGAGCGATCTATCACTCTTCATTACTGTCAAAAAGCCAAACTCTAGGACAACTAGACAAGAGGAGGTCAGTTCCAACTCAAATAAATCATCCCACATTACACAAGTTAGGGAAAGTTCCCCCACCCCCTTCTTAAAAATATATGTATGTCTCATTGTGGATCCCTTGTCTCCACATCAAACCCACTCCTGAGCCCACAGGGGAAGGGAAAGCAGCCAAGCATCTCTCCCTCTCCCCCTTCTCTCCCAACCCACTCTCCCTTCCCCCATAACCGCTCTCGGGGCAGCCCAGGAGGTGAAGAGGGTCCCAGGACCTGGGGCCAGGTCTTTGGACTGACCTTTGTGGCTGAGGCAGGCAGGGCCGGTGGCGGCGGCGGCCGAGGCAGGCGGCAGCACGGTTTTCTTGGCCGCCTTCTTCTCCTTCATCCAGGGGTACTCGGGCGGCTGCAGGGCGCCGGCGGGCACTGGGCTGCCGCGGCTGCCCGCGGGGCTCGGCTTGGGGCGGCCGCCAGCGCCGTGGCGAGGGTGACTGCCCGGGTTCAGGCTGGGAATGGTCTGCTCAAAAGGAGGAGGAATCAGTGTCGAGTGTGAAAGCGTCGAGGTCTTGATTGATGAACTTTGAAATGTATCAGCGACAGGGGGAAAAGATGTCAGGCACTCAGCGAGCGACGGCTGGCTATTGATAAAACCAATCTCTCGCTCAAATTCGTAATTCATGGCCTTCTCCTTGGAGCCCCCTCGGAGAAAAAGTTCCCTCTTCTGGAGGGGTTTGGGGGGGCAAGGCCCAGGAAAAAGGCGAGCGCGGAGGGGAAAAAAAAAATCTATCATAGAAGATCGCTGCTGGGGTGTTTTTTTTCTAATTCACTGATTACAGCCGTATGGGGACCGCGCTACTATTAAACTATTGAATTCATGGAGACAAGGTTGAAATTGGACCGAATTGGCTGTCACATGATTGCTTCTGCCCAATGACAATTTGGGCTTTAATCAAAAGAAGCCACTGTCTGTTTGATTGATCCAAAAAAGTCGGAAAGGAACGCCTCATTGGGGGCCAGCGAGGCTTTATTTACACTTTTTTCAGGGCAAAAATACATATATGTGGGTGTGGGTTGGGGATGCGTGGCAATGCGTGAGGGCGAGGGTGCCTGCCTGCCTCCTGATCCACACGGAGGTGGTGTGTACGCCTGGGAGTGCGTGTGAGTGTGTGAGTGCGTGCGAGTGCTTAGCCCTGCTGCCGGTCCCGCCGGCGGCCGCCCTCTGCCTCCCCCGCAGACTCCGCGCATTGTTTGGGACGTCGGGAAGACGCCTCGCACCTCACAAATCATTTAAGCACCTCAGTCTGATGCCTGCAGTCATTAACAAAGTAATCCATTAATCTTCAAAGTTTTGACACCCGAGGGCCACGCATCCCAGCCACATAAGTTCTGCTAAAGCAGGAAGAAGAAGCAGAGGGAGAGGGGAGATGAGACAGAGTAAGGGGGTCGGGGACAGAAAAAGAGAGGATTATTTAGGGGGCTCCCCCTTTTTATTTCCCTTTTCCTCCTCCGCTTTTTCTAAAACCAGTTTCTGGATCTCAGAACTGATCTGCCTCTGATTTCCTTCCCGTCTTTCCCTCTTTTCCTCTTTTTTCCCTCTTCTTCTGTCTTCCTCCTCCCTCTCCCCTCTGTCCACCTCTCCTCCCCCCACTTCCCTCAGGCCCTCACCCCCCCCCCTCCCAAAGCCCAGCTCTGAGTCCGCGCCCCCCGGACCCCGGACCGGGGTCCATTGTTAGCCGGCTTTTCCACGACAGCTTCGCATCTGGCTCCAGCGGAAAGCGGAAAACGGGAGGCGGCTCTCCAGGCTTCCCGACCCTCCTGCGCCATCAACTTTTCAGGAGTGGCTCGAGAAAGATAGAGGCATGTGCCAAGCGAGACAACAACCCCAGATCCATGTGCCCAAATCCCTGTAGCCAGGGCGGCGGCCAGCCAAAGAAATGCCGCCCCGAGCAGGCGCGTGCGGCTCCTGGCATTCTGGGTTTCATACCCGTAGGGCTCGGGTGCGGTAAGTATTTCTGATTTCCAGGAAGTCTGTTGGAAGTTAGCAGCACGGAGGGAGAAGGCGCTTGCTTGTTCTTTCTTTTTCTTCTCCTTCCCTTCTTCTCATCCTTGTCGCTCTGATGGGGCTTGTTGATTCAGATGCAGTGAGTGCTCCTTGGCAGCCAGAATCGTCTCCTGAACTGTCCCGCTTCTTGGCCACCAGGGATGTTTGCACTCGGGGTCTGCTGTGGGAAACAGCACCGCGGGTGAGAAAGGGCGACCCAAGGAGGAATTATAAAGGTTCTGTTTCTCTGTTCACTCCTTTTTTCCAACTCGGAGACTTGAGACTGAGCGCATCTTGGACTGTGCTGGAGGGTTCAAAAGATAACACCTTTAGATACCAAACAATAACTCTGCAAAAATCCACCAAGCCAGAAAAAGGGAAGGAGGCTGAGAGAGCAATCTGAAGGTATCTCTTTTCCCCCACACCGAGGATGATGATTCGCTTTTGCTTCCTTTGAAATGGACCAAGTGATCAGACTCCCCCTGGCCGGCAGGCATCGGTGGCAGGAAAATAAATCATTCTGATGGCCAGGGAGAGAAAGATTGTTGGGGGAGAAAATTTTACGTAGAAAACAAGAAAGGCTGAGCAAGTCACAAGGACAGGACTCCATCTCTGAGGCTGGCATCAAAGGGGCTTGGGTTGGAAATTAGAAAGTGGCCTCCGTCATTGACTAGCCCAGAGCAATGCCTTACAGATAGAGATGCTATTTTGGAAAATGTGAGGTTTTTTCAGTTTTCTTGCTTTTATTCCAAACAAAGCTCTGAAGGAAGTCTGGGTGCGATCAATCTTGCTCACCAAAAGCCTTGACAGCTTCTGGCCCTTAAGAACACATTTCAGCTTCGAGCTCTTTCCAAGATCAAATGTGGTCGAGCAAAGAGGAGAGCAGGAAACCAAGGAAACAAGGAAAACTAGTCTCTTTAAAGATATTTTTGGCAGCAGAGTTCGAGGGCTGCTTTTAGGAAAGGTGCTTTGCGGACTCTGGGATGGTGGCTTTTGGCATTTGCTTTTACCAGAAAATATTGAGGGGTTAAGGGGAGGAGGAGTGCGGAAAGGAAGCAACGCTGCCCCCATATCGCTGAGGCTTTGTCAGGGGCTGCGTGGGTGAGAGCTTTCTGCTCGCCTCAGCGGCCTTAATTCAAATACCATCTGGAAGAACCCCCCCCCCCTTTTTAAACCACTCAACACTGAAATCTTCCCCAAATCTATTACTTTAACTCAGGAGATATTTTAATACAGATTTCTGTTTAATATCTAGAAAATGGAGGTTGAGATTGATATTTTTTCTCTGAAAGTCAAAATGAACATCTTGACTGGCAAGATAAGGGAAATCATATTGGAATCTCACTTTAAAAATCTGCCCTGAGGGAAGGTGGACGTCTCCAAGCCAGTCCTTCCTCAGCTAAAGGGCAGATTTTAGAAACTACAAATAGTGGTATCCCTGAAAGATTTTTTTCTCTCTGGATGGGTAGCTTTCTCTCTCTCTGCCTTCTCTTTCTCCCCTCCCCCTACTGGCCTGTATTCTCCCAGGTAATTTCACACACTCCTCTAAAATTATTACTTAACAGAAGCCTCCCTTGTCTGCTCAGCCTACTGTGTTCATATCTGAACAAGCAAAAGGGTGAAAGCTCCAGTCCTCACTGGAGAAAACACTGGTTTTCCAACTCTGCATTTCTGGGTTGCACCATATTTCAGCAGGGATGTTGGAGTGGGGTAGAGAGTAAAATCTACTTCTACATCCTAAACTCTTTTGAAAAGAAAAAAAAAATGTAGCAGGAACTCCAGGACAGATTTAGGGGAAGCACCTCTAGCAGTGAAACACCCAGCTCTTTACAGCTGCCTGACTTTGCATCTTCCCAGTCTTTTTCTTTTCTTTGAGACTTCAGGAGGTTCCCTAAAAGCAGCTCCTCCAGGCCCAGTAGGTACCCCTAAAATGGCTCCATTGCCTGTTTTGAAAGCTCATCTTCCGGAGTTTCTCAGGGGAAAGATAGAGGCCATGATGATGTATATTTTGGATTGCAAACAAAATGGCGACATTTCCCATCTCTGCCTCTGAAAGATACAATCCGGGGAGATGGGGATACATTTCTCACATCAGATGCTCCTGATACCAGACACAGGTGGTTCCTCACTTTCTGCTTTGGGGCGGGGGGGAGCTGCTGATGGGGATTCAGTTCCGAGGTTTGCACTTTCTGATTTTGGTTTCTTCTCTGAGCAATTCTTTAATCTGAAGATGAAAATATATTCCTTTCCTGTGCCTGCCTTTGCCTCTGCCAGCCAGTCAGTAGGCAGCCCTCTCTTAAATCCAGCGGTAGAAATATAATGTTTAGCTCCTGTAGCATCAAATAAAAGAAGTACTTGTAAAACTGCATTTTTATTAGAAAGATACCAATCTCCTCTCTCTCCCCCTCCCCCTGGGCCATAAAAGGAAAGCAGGGAGGGAAGGAGAGGAAATAAATCCAGAGAATGCCAAATCCTATATTCCGGGAAGAAGCCAATGCTAAGACTCAGTCTACGGAAGGACTTGAGCAGGCACCTCGGAGTTCAGCCGTTCTTTTGCTGGAGTCGTGGGTCTCTTCCGAACCGCCAGGGGCAATTTTAGCTGTGATTCCTGTGGTTCCTCTTGGCGCGGTAAGGAACAGCGAAGCATCCGCGGAGCGTTCGGTTGCTCCTAGAAAATGCATCCTCAGCGCGGCCGGCGATTCCCCGTGTTAAGGCGTTGGCTGGTCCGCTTTGATCCGAAAAAGACAGTGGAGAAGACAGCCCTACCTTACTCCCTGGCGGGGCTGCCGGGTCACCTGTGCGCCCCCCGCCGCGTCTCAGCCGGGCCGCCTTTGTTCCTTCGGCACTCAGCCGCCGCCCCTGCGCCCTAGGCTGGCCACGGTGGCAGCTGGGAACCGGGCAGCCCAGCGAGCTGCCAACTCGGCGTTTCCAGAACGGCCGCCGCCAGAAGCTCCGACTGCCTTTCCCGAGAATTCGCCGCGCTCCCGGGCGAGCCGCCTGGCCAGGCCTCACGCTGGAGCTGGAGGGCTGCCGCGGCCTGCTCCGCCAATTCGCCTCCGCCTGGACTCCATGTAGACCCTTCTCTTCGGCCAAAGAATCTCTTTTGAACACGGATATTATTCAGAATAAAAACTTTATTTTTTTTTGTTTTGTTTCTCAGAATGTGAGCAGCAAGGAATGTATAACTTTCAAAACAAATCTAGCATTTTTCGCGTTTACAGATTTTTTTTCCCAGTTTCGCCGGATGTTACAAACCTAAATCACTGTTTTCAAAAGCTGGATCCTCTCTGGTATTATTGCATCATTACCATCTTTATAAAGGAATTATATTTCCCTTTCGAATAAAATTTTTTTTCTATGTATGCCAATACACCATTGAACAAAAGGCCCAAGAAACCTTCTGAACAATCAGGGTACAGAATTTCTTTAATATAAATACAGACGGATGGGGATAAATAATATTTAAAACTTAGATTATTCAATGCTTGCAAAAAAAATATAAATAAATCTGACTTCACCAGCATACACACACGGAAAGACGTACACTTAGTCATCCTTGTACAGGGAGCCCCTGTCTCAAAGCGCCTTTGATTTTTTTCTCGCTCTTTACAAGAAGTGCAATAAAAAAAAAAACTAAAAATTAAAAGTAATTGCTTCCCCTCGGGAGCCATAATGTACGAACAAATTCACATTGAACAACTTGGCTAGAAAATTTGTTCATATACCCTGTTTCTGATCAAAGAATAGAGAAGGTAAAGGGTGCAAGGCCAGTGGCCCAGGGAGGGGCGGGAACAGATACATATCACTACTGATACCGACAGCCATTCCAGCAACCAAGATTGCTACGTCACATAAACCATAAAAACGTGTTACCAAAGAAAACAAAACGGGTGGGGGGAGAGCGGGGGCGGGTGGAGAAGAGAGGAAAGGGAGGTGCAGAAAGAAACTTAAAAAAAGCAAATGAAGAAAGATGGTGGGGTGGGGTGGGGTGGGGGGACTCTCCTGGCGCGCAGCCCCAAGCCCACCATCACAGATGGGTGAGCTTGGGGGCTTCCTGAATTCTTCCCTGAGAAGGATGGTGGGCGGTAAGGTCCGTGTAGGTTGGATGCGGTTCCCCTGGCCCGGGCCCGTGATGGTGACCGCTACCCAGTGGCCCAGCGCCCCCGTAGTCCATGGCAGCGGAGGCGGCGTGGGGCAGGTGAGTTAGGCCAAAGAGGGGCGGGCCAGAGTTGCTCATGGGCTCCAC